AGCGATCTTCACTGTTGGGATAATTACTCTCTATCCTGGTTTGGCAGGCTCAACTCGATTAAAATGACGTTTTTGCCCCGATAGCTATGTTATTTTAGAATTTTACCGATACCAATTCCAAGACGGGAGTTGCAGCATTTACAAGCTGAGGTTCTCTGCTTTGTCTGGAACAATAGAAGACCTCAGATGAACCAAAAGACGTTATATGCCTCAAAACCGCAAGGTGGGATTGGCCTTCCTAATCTTCAAGCATATGTCCAAGCTGCTCAAATTGCCCAACTGGCCTACACTACTGCTAAGGGATCTACTCCCGTCTGGGTTTCTATCGAAGCTCTTTCCGGTCATCCCTTAACAGTCAACTCTTTACTTTGGCTTCGTAATCGATCTCAACCCCCTATACTGTGCCCCACTCTGTCATATTCTTTGACAATCTGGGATAGAGTGTGCCACCGCAAATCATTAGCTTCTCTACACACGCCCTTGGTGCCTGCATTTGGATCCGCCATGTTTTAATTTCATCTACATGGCTGTACGGGGTTTGTTGGTTTGGATGCGCTGGTGGCGTGTGTGGTGGGTTGCTTGTGTGGGTGCGGGCGTGGTGGGTGTGAACCGGGGGGTTTTGACGGGGGGAGTGAGTGAGGGTTTGTGCTGTTTTTTTATAATCCTGAATTTTTACCTGGTTTAGTTCCTGCCTCATTCCAATGGTGGATTAATAAAGGATTACTGCAGATAGGAGACTACCTTAAGGGTGATCGAACTCACTCTTTGCAACACTTTAAAAATAAATTGCAAATGCCCTCTACCGAAATCTTTAGATACAATTAAATTGTCTCTATTATCCACTCAAAAATCACTTTATTGGATGAACCACCCATACTTACCAATTTTTAACTTTCCTGCCAGAAAAAGGATTTCCCTAGAGGCCGTGTCTCCACAGTGTATGTTTTCCTTACTGATCTGAATTGTAAATTTCCCTATATGGATCAATGGGAATGGGACTTGAATGTTGCTCACTGATTGACAAGATATTGCCCTGGCATTATCTAAAGTTTCCATCGACACTACTCTAATTGAAACAAACTATAAGATGTTATTACGATGGTACTTGGTCCCAACTCGCATTGTGAGGATCCATCCATCTGCCTCACCGATGTGCTTCGGTGTTGCGGCCAGAAGGGCTCTATGTATCACATCTGGTGGCAATGCCGATGGCAACCAAATTTTGGATCCGCATGTTTAATTTCATCTACATGGTGACGGGGGTGAATATTCACAGATCCCCGGAAGATGTCCCTCTTTCATAAATTCCCAGATACCAATCCCAGAAAATCCCTTAAGCTGATCACCTATTTGCTGTTGGCAGCGAGAATTACTATTCCTAGACATTGGAAGCAATCGGTCATCCTGATTGATCAAGTTAAGAGTAAACTGAATTGGATTATGAATAACGATAGACTCACCTGTATTCTGCACAATACTAGAAAATTTGATAAAACATGGGACCCGTGGATTCAATATATTTCCATACTTTAATGTCTCCCGACTTGACCCTCTCTTTCTCTTTTTCTATTCCTTTTTCTTTATTGTTACTATTCCCTTTTTCTGTCCTCTGGGGTTGTTTGCACCTACTCCTTTTTGTTCTACAACATCTGTCACGCCTCAAACGACACTTACTCTGTGTGTATTCTCAGGTCTACAAAAACTGGCTTTTCCCCCTTCCACTGTGCCCCCAGGCTCTCCCTTTCCAGCTTCCCTCCCTCCTTTCTTCCTTTATCACTGTGTCCGTCACCTATATATGGTTGGAAAAATTATGTGGACTTTCTATTTGGATTATCCAATAGCTATTCTACAAAGTTTCTAGATTCCTAGTGTGTGCCTTGTGTTCAATAAACCATGTGCTTTGCGTTGTGTTGAAATCCACTAATTGTGACATGACTATTGTTTATTTGTTATTTGAAAATTATTCAATAAAAATGATTGGAATATAAAAATAAAAAGGCATGGGGGTTCCCCCCCCCCCCAAATCCATACCAGACCCTTAGTCAAATCCATACCAGACCCATATTCATATGGAAGGAGGCTGGGATCTGGGGCCCCCTTGTTAAAGGGGGCTTCCAGATTCCAATAGTTCCCCCCACCCGCAGACTCCCTTAACCACCGGCCAGGGTTGTGGGAAAGAGGCCCTTGTCCCTATCAACTTGGAGATTAGGACTGGTATGGATTTGGGGGGACCCCATGCAATTTTTTTTTTTATTTTGGTGTGGTGTTCCTCTTGAAATCCATACCAGACCCAAAGGGCCTGGTAAGGATTGGGGGGAACCGCCATGCTGTTTTTTTCCTCAAATTTTTAATTGCCTGCAATTCTTTTTTTTAACACTCAGCTGTCAGCGGGAAACCATGCTGACAGCTGGTAAGTGATCAGTTGTTAATGACGTGGGGACTGACTTGCCGGTCTGCTCCTTAACAAATAGCTAAACACCGGCACACCAAAGGGAAAGACACCAGAAAAAATATTCATATAAAAGGGTTTTTTATACAGTGTTTTTCCAGCATTTTTTTCAGCTCCTAGTGTACATGGAGCCTGACGGGTGTTTTTGGTGATTGATCAGCTTTTATTCATATAGAATATATTTTTCACAAGAAAAAAAATATGTATCTTCTTTAAAAGGTTAGCTCCCCTTTACAAAAAAAAACTGCATTTGCAGGTAAGGGGTGTTTATAGTTAAAAACAAACTGTGTAGCTCTGACTAAAGTTGAATAATGCCTTATAGGTGTAGGGTAGGCCATTCACATACTGTACCTCCCAAAGACTTACTGGAATACTCCCAGGATGTGAAACCTAGTTGTTACTGCTCACCTCCACCATCACAGGAGTGAGCTCCTTTTCTGATTCAAACCCCTCACATGCACTTTCTCTCCCCAGATGCAATAGCTTTGAGCTCACATTTTGAGAGCTCAACATTTGAGAGCTATCTGTGATAAAGGAGGCAAGCAGTAACCACTAAGCCTCACTTAGAAATGCCCTGGGAGTATTCCAGTCAGGCTTCAGGAGGTACATAAATGACCTTCACTTATAGCAAGGGCATTATTCAGCTTTATTCAAAGCTGCACAGTTTGTCTTTATCTACAAACTCCCCTTATCTGCACAGGGAGTTTTTTTGTAAAGATGTACTAACCCTTTAAACATTTTAGCTGGAGAGATGTTTATCAAAGACCACCATCTAAGAATACCGAAGGACTACCTAAATTTACCTAGAGACTACCTAAAGCTAAAGTCCTAGTCTACTAAAGTTACACTTTAAATTAATTTCCTTTAGTCCCCCCGTCTTTCTTGCACTACAGCTTACGTCCCATGGAGTTTCCCTAAAGCATCTTTCATCTCTAAGGCCCCATGTACACAGGACACTTCTGAAAGATGGGAACTGACTGCTGGAAAATGTAGGTTAAAAAAAGGTCTGTTTAGCTGCGTTTGCATAACGTGTTTATGTGTGTTTGCGTTTAGAAGCGTTTTTTAAAGATAAGCACAGGAGAACCTCCCAAATGCCCAGAATGCACTGAAAAGTGGTAAATTATTAACTATTTCAGACTGTTTCAGAGAAATACACACAGTAGAAGCAGAGAGAGCAGGATCTGTTGAAATTAGCTTAGGTGTGAGTTGCTCATTAAGATTTCTTTTGTTTCCAAGGGTGGAAAAGGTGTCTGGTGGAGTGACTCATTAAGGTCTCCTGGAGGGGGTCTTCATGAGGAATTTGAGGTGTGAATGGTCATTAACAAATCTTTTGTTTCCAAGGGTGGGAGAGGTCTGAGGTGTGAATTGATCATTACAATGTGTGACAAGCTTGGTAGGAAAATCCTGTTTTCAGTGTTTTGTCCATCTGACTACCTTGAAAATGCTTTGCATGCATTTGCTCTGGACAGCATCGGGAACTGGAAGAGTTAAAAAAATTTCAGATGCAGGCGCTTATAAACGCGATTTGCCGCATTTAGCCACGTTTTGCATTTGAAACGCTGATAAAATTGACTTCTGAACACAAGTTTTCAAAAAAACGACTGTAAACTCAGATGCCTGTAAAGGACTGTAAACGAAGATGTGTACATGGACACATAGGAAAACATTAGGGTGAGTTCAGGGGCTGCTGAAAAAAATGCTAAACAGCTCCTAAACGTGAGTTTATCAGCTGCAGTGTACATGAGCCCTAAACCCTACAAAATGTAATGCACAGCTTTTCAACCAACATTCCATCATTGGGGTCTGAGAAAGCTATACAGATAGCTTAGTTGATCATAGCACTTAACTCCATGCAAACAGATACAAATAACAATTAAAGCACATATATGTGACCTATCTGACTTACCAAAAGATTTGTATCTTTTTGTATTTCAATGGTTTTTATTAATTTATAACAATTAACACAGGAGCAACAAATCACGCCCTCGCAGGGGCTATCAATTGCACATAGGATTTGTATCTTTTTAAGTGGGTATGAGACAACACAGCATAGCCAGGTTCTGCACTCTCTCAGACCTCCATCCCTGGTCTAGGACCTGCCCCTGCCTCTGACTGAACTGTAAAGGAACAGCAATGCACTCATCATCGTTGTACTCTCCCCTACTATACATATTCTTACATATAGCAATGAGCAATGGTATTGTTTATAAGTGCAAGTTATTTTTCTTGCAACCAAGAACAAAAAATACTAAAAGAACCACAGAAGTCAAGCGACTTTAGAATAGTAAAACACCTGTTTATTTGTAAAGTATAAAAGCTAGTCTTATTTATGGAAGGTACAAATAGGTATTGTATTATTAGAAAGCAGAACTGCCTAATAACTAAAAAAGCACTGCTATCCATACAGGATAAATAGAAAATTTAGCAATGATAAATAAAGGCAAAGAGTTTGAAGATCTTTACACTCATAATTTCAGAATGAGGCTCCACACATTTAAGGCAGTGGCTGGCATGATGGTTATATACTGTATTTTGTTGCAGGTGATGTATTTTAGGCTGGCCGTGGAAACTGCAAGGTTTCTGTGAAATCACAGTCAAAGTCTTCAAACACATGAGTTTCTGACAGATCTATATCTTCCGATTTCCGCATAGATAACACAAGATCTACTGGGTACTTCTGAAGAAGCAATGGATCAAAAGTCATTCCTCTGAAGAAAATATGGCTCTGGAACTGATGGAAGTGGTGTAGCCTCTGCCTTGGAACTTTACACAGGAGCTAAGAAAATCATTAAACATTTACATTGGTTACATACAGGAATATGCATGAACTACTATTAGATAAGATAACTAGAATTTAAACTGTGAGGCAGCTAGACAACACAACTGAAGGAAACAAAAAGGGAAAACAATGACAGAGGCACAAGATGCCTAAGTCAAGCGGGTCCAAAAGAGGTCAAACCGCGGCTTGTTTGACCTCTTTTGGACCCGCTTGACTTAGGCATCTTGTGCCTCTGTCATTGTTTTCCCTTTTTGTTTCCCTCAGTTATGTTTGGGTCCTAAGGACACCACATGGCTATCTCCATGTGAGTCGGCATATTTTCTATGTATATGGAGGCCAGTATTTAGTTCATTACAAAATTTCTGACCCCCCTTTTTCCTAGGTATTCTCACTATAGTTCATAGTTGGCAGTGTCCCGGTTACCCCCCCCCTTTTTCTATAAGCTAGACAACACAAGCCTAGGCAGTTACTAGTCATATGATTTCACTGAAGGGGAAGATCAGAAAATCCAAACCCTAATCCTCCTCCTCATCAGAGATCACAAAAAATTGTATGAACTGAAGATAGCTTGTGTTTGAGTAAAAAAATTTGCAAATGATTTGTAAATGTGCACTGTTAGGGACACTTTAGAAAGCCTCCGGTAAGACAGTCTGAAAATAACACAGAACAGGACATAGTAAACAGGCCTATATCTGGGATTTTTCATCGTACAGGACAGATTGTTTTAGAACAGCTCTGTAGATTAGCAGTATTGTATTGACATTCAAGGCTAAAAAATGTCTGTGTAGATTGCAAACAGCGAAAATAGAGGCTAAAATAACACAAAGGCCATGCTGCTGTATACTATATATAGCAGTGTGGTTGTTTATAGTATTCAGTAGTCTACAACCATTCTGTTATGATATTTGGCTTATATGCCTGTATCGTATCAGTTTTTCCAGTCCTTGCAAATTGTAAAATTATTGCAGACTGACTTTCCCGCAACTCACAGGTGGCCCAGTCTTATTAGCTGTTTGGTTTTATATTAGCCTACATTTCTTAGAGTCCAACTTCAAGCAGATTTCTTTTTTAGTTAAGGCAGCTCATTGTAAATAAAACAAAACTTGCTAAACCTTTTTTTTAAAGAATAAATCCAGCCATCAGCATCTTATACATAGTTATAGTGGTCCAGCTTTGACCATCGTAACTAAGTGTATACCTTGCCAAAGCTCCTGGAAGCTGGAAATCACTAAAGTAGACACTGCTACGTAAGTGATTTCCACTTGCTTCCAGGTCCAGTCCGTGCCTCTCTCCTGTATTGTGAACACAAAAAAGTCAGCCAGTCGGCATGGGCGCCATTCAGAGAATGCTTTGCATTTTCTGAATGAATACAAAGCATTCTCTGATTGGACGAGGTGGAGAGGCAGGAGGGGTGAGGTCACGTTGTTTACCCTGTCCAATCAGAGAACGCTTTGCATTCATTCAGAAAATGCAAATCATTCTTTGAATAGTGCCTGTTCTGGGTGGCTGATCTACTGCGTTCACAATGCATTAGGCCAGCTGCTCTACACTGTACGCAGAAGCAAGTGGAGATCCCTGGGGTAGAGGTGTCTACTTCAGTGGTTTCCAGGGGAGTTGGCCAGGGATGGTATACAGATAGTTATATTGGTCCAAGCTGAAATTATTCCTTAACCACTTCCCATCCGGCCCGTATACATAAACGGCCGGACGGCTGTTTATAAACGTCCTCTCGCTTCCCTGCTTGTGCTCGCTCCCTGGGAGTGTGCAGCACCACAATCCGGTGCTCGCTGTGTCCTCCAGTCACTGTACGGGACCTCTGTGTGAGGTTCTGATCATGTGATCACTGATTGGCCAATCACTTCCTGACATCATTGTCACCATGTGACAAGCTGTGACCAATCACAGCTCGCACAGTATTTTTCAATGGCTGCAAGAATGCAGCCAGAAAGAAGGAGAAATTATTGCTTTTACAGCCTTTATAGGTGTAAAAGCAATCAGTGTGAAAAAAGAAAAAAAAAAAAATCATCTCCCCCCACAAGTATTACAGTGTCATTATGGTGACACTGTACTGCTAGGGTGACAGTATTTAAAGAAAAAAAAACATAATATACAAAATTAAAAATGTTAAAAACATTTAGAAAAATTATAATTTTTGGTTATAAACAAATTTGGATTTTTTTTACACTAAAAAGATAACTGAATACATCTTGGCCAAGGTTTATAAAAAAATATTATTTGCAAAACTTTATAAGAAAAACCCTTTTTTTCTACATTTTTTGACTTTCATTTATATAGCAAAAAAAAAAAAGATAAAACTTCCAGTGGTAAATAAATACTACCAAAGTAAAGTTGTATCTGTCTCAAAAAAATGCTAAAAAATTCATTTGGGTACAGTGTTGCATGACCGTGCAATTGTCATTCAAGGTGTGATCGCACTGAAAGCTGTAAAATTGGCCTGGACAGGAAGGGAGTAAATGTGTTCGGACTTGAAGTGGTTAAGCAGCTAAACATTCTCCTTGTGTGTCCTTGACCTAGTCTCTATCACCATAACTTGAGCTTTTTATAAGAAGAGGTGTATGTATCTTGCAGTCACATGCGCATCTTCTCTCAAATTACAATAGCCAGAAATAAATGCACCTGTTTCTACTTAATATGCGCCATTTTGTGGATTAAATGGGGTTCTTCTGCACTTTTACTTGTTGGTGCTGAATGAGTTGGCATGTCTATTCAGAGGCTAGCAGAGGAGGGTGGCTATATTTTCAGTTAATTATGGAACTATGTAAAGTGAACGTAGCCATCCTCAGTAAGGAAGTGAAGACTTAGGAGGATATTTTGGAATTATTTTCTAGAAGGTGCTCAACAAAGCTGGCATTACAAGGAGAAAGATGACCTGCAATACCACTATTATTTATTATTATTATACAGTATTTATAAAGTGCCAATAGTTCGCTCAGCGCTGTATATTACAAAGGGGGACAGAACATGTGACAGAACAATAACAATACAATACATGAGGGGATTGAGGGCCCTGCTCTTTCGAGCTTACAATCTAGGAGGGAGGTGCATTTGGGAGAGTCCCAAATGCACCCTAGCTTGTGTTTGGGTACATGCATCCACATGGATGTCACATTGGGAGCAGCGGCTGTATCTGTGCAACCGTTGCATCCCAATTAACAGCTATGGGATAGCCGACAACGGGATGCCCGGAACACCTGTGCAGAGCCATACAAAGCAGTGCGCTTACAGTGTAAAGCGCACACACAACACACACACAGTAAAGCAGCACACAGTTAACCCTTTGATCGCCCCACATGTTAACCCCTCCCTGCCCAGTGCCATTAGTACAGCATCAGTGCTTTTTTTATTATTATTATTATTATTATTATTATACAGTATTTATATAGCGCCAAAGGGTTTGCTCAGCGCTGTACAATAACAAGGGGGGGCAGAACATGAGACAAGACAAAAACAATACAATACATGAAGGGTTCGAGGGCCCTGCTCTTTCGAGCTTACAATCTAGGAGGGAGATGATAGTGGTACAGGAGGAGATAGCTGTGGGGGATGGAGTGGTAGGAAGAGTGGAGGAGGTCGGCAAGTTAGCAGGGGATGGGGTAGGCTTCCCTGAAGAAATGGGTTTTCAGGGTGCGCCTAAAGGAGAGGAGAGTAGGTGATAATCTGATGGGTTGGGGCAGGGAGTTCCAGAGGATGGGTGACACCCTGGAGAAGTCCTGGAGGCGGGCATGGGAGGAGGAGACCAGGGAACTAGAGAGAAGGAGGTCTTGTGAGGAGCGGAGTGTGCGTGCTGGGTGGTACTTGGATATTAGGTCAGTGATGTAGTTCAGGGCAGTGTGGTGGATGGCTTTGTACGTCAGTGTTAGGATTTTGAATTTGATCCGTTGCGCAATCGGAAGCCAGTGGAGGGATTGGCAGAGATGGGTGGTGGAGATGGAGCGGTTGGAAAGGTGAATGAGTCTGGCAGCCGTGTTCAGGATCGACTGAAGCGGGGATAGCCAGCGGCGAGGCAGGCCAGTGAGGAGGGAGTTGCAGTAGTCGAGTCGTGATATGATGAGGGAGTGGATGAGCCGTTTAGTGGTTTCTGGGGTTAGGAACGTGCGTATTTTGGCGATGTTGCGGAGGTGGAGTCTGCACGAGTTTGTTAATGATTGGACTTGGGGCTGGAAGGATAGGTTGGAGTCCAGAATGACACCAAGTACTCTGGCCTGCGGGGCGGGTTTGATGGTGGCGTTGTTGGATGTGATGGAGAAGTCAATGGGGGGTGGTGTCCGGGCTGGGGGGAAGACAAGAAACTCGGTTTTGGAGAGGTTCAGTTTAAGGAAGTGGAGCGACATCCAGTCAGATATGTCGCTCAATAGGTGTGTGATTCGGGCGGAGACTGAGGTGGTGAGGTGGGGGGTTGAGAGATAGATTTCTGTGTCGTCAGCATAGAATATACTTTTTTTAGTAATAGATTTAGTGACACTTTAACCTGGAAAACTGGGAACACAAGTGAGGAAAGGGCGTCAAGAGCCCCTCACCATGGCACACTGTGTTTACTGAAGTAATGGTGCAACCAGCGGATATTATGTCATTGTTCCACCGCTGCTCTCTGCATCTTTGCATTAATTTGTTAATTGTGCATTAATAGAAACTGTCACATATCACTTTTAATGTGATTGGGAACCTCTGGTACATAACACATAGAACTTGTGTAATGGTGTTCTTGATTTGGCACAATGTACAGATATTTACACTAAAATAAAAATGTATGTTTCCTTTGTTAATTCCCTAAGCATGCCAAAAGACTCCAAAACGTTGTGAGTATAAAAAAAGAAGCTCAAATGATCTTCAGATCTTCGGGGGGGAGCTCTTTGTGTGGGGAGCTTTAGGTTTTATAAAGTGATGGAAAAATTGGATATATTTGTGAATAGTATTATTAATTATAATAGAAGTAAAGCTGAAATTATATGGGATGATAAATCTGCTTGTTTTTCCAAATTTCTGCACTCCTCAACCCTCGGTCAGTTATCTCATGGCATTCTATGGTATTTCACTGTAGCGCATTGGATGGATCATTTCCACTTCTTCATGGAAACTTGTTAGAACCTTTCTATGTGTGATAATGAGCAGTGTTTGTTAGTACTCATAAACTCTGTTATGTGATCATTGTGGGCAGTGTTAAATCTTCCTTTCCCTTACCAGTCTAACAATATTTCTATAGCTTGAAAAGGGCTTTTAAAACAGTTACAGCATACCTCTTTTAAAAGAAAGGACAGTCCTTGGCTTAAAGACTCCGGAATAATGAAATCTGCTTGATTGACAAACTCCAGCATACTTATGTGGTCTCTAGCACATGAAACTGGAAACTAAGATAAAGAACAATCCAATTAAATACTGAGTACTAAGTGTGCCTTTTTATGCATATAAATGACATACATTTTCCTTTACCTCACCAACCGCTAGTGCATACAACAAGACACCCAAAGACCACCAGTCAGCTGAATGGCTGTAGGGACCTCCAGAAAGAACCTCAGGAGCTAGAACCACAAAACAAACAAAAGTCAACATAATGTTTTTATGAGTATTTACTGTTTATAGTAATAAAGTTTTGAGGCTTTACCAAGATCCTCTAGGCTTTAATGAAAACTATGATTCATAAACCTTTTGACTCAAGACACCCTTTAAATTTTGCACCGACTCGAAGCACCTCATTCTAAAGTGTAAAAAACTAAACTAATAATTTTACATAACACAGCAGCATCCATACACATGGGTCACCCAACATTAGAGAGGATTTATTCCTCCATCTTCGCAAACTGGTACCGAATAGTATTCCAGTGTTTCTCTTCACCTTCAGTTTCTCTCTCATGTCTTGCTAGTGTGACCCCAGTGACATTGATGACATTGGTTGTTAGGATACTAGTGGCTGGCTTGCACAGTGCCTAAGGTTGTACAAGACAAACCTGTGTCTTGATGTAACAAAAAGGCAGGCTTGATCCACTCGCTGGCTTTTTAACAACTGTTGGGTAATTTGTTGCAATTTTTAGGCATTTTGCCAAGGCACCATTGAAGAACCCAGAAGGCACTTTGGTTGAAAAAGGCTGATGTACACAAAGGCCTCATACATCACAACACACATATCAGTATGAATTAAAGCCTCTGCCAGCTAAAGGATGATTCCATTGACTCAGAAAGAAAGAGGGAGTGACAAGTATTTATAATCAGGACCAGTCCCCAATTAACTGGTAGTAATAACTTCTTCTTTAGCTCCTTTTGTCACTGGTAAAGTCCAGAACCTATTTAGCTAGGTCCCTGAAGAGCTGTACCCAATTTGAAAATGAATAAGTGATGATGCATGTTGGATGATGACTTCATACAGATGGGTGTTAAGAAGATAAATATCTACCCCCCAAAAAACACTTGTATTCTTGAAGTGTATTTATAAAGGGTTGAATCTTAGATTCACCAAACATTCCATCATTTTCACCTGTTCCACAAAAAAATTCACCAGCGTTTTCATGTTAAATTCTGGATACAATATAATTTGTTGTAGATATAAAGCTGTTACAAGATTCACATATAAACATTTGCTGCCCAGCTCCTTCCTATAGAGGCCTGTAGTTGCTTTTCTTGCCAGAATGCTTTTTGCTACAGATCCACTTAGGATTCAAATATTTGCATTTGTCCTGAGTTATTATCAGTGTTATATTTATGTTTTGTTATTTAAGTGCCATTGATAGCCCCTGCGTGGGCGATCTTTTGCCCTGTTGGTGTTAGAGCACTGATTTCTTTAATTTTCTACTTCTTCTATGTGCAATTGATAGCCCCTGCGTGGTTGTGATTTGTTGCTCCTGTGTTGTTATTAATTAATAAAAACCATTGAAATACAAATATTTGCATTTGTCATTCTTTAGTATTTTTTCAGGTAGTTTTATGAATCTGGTTAAGGATGAATGCATGCCAGCGAATGTCACTGAATTACCCCATTAAAAAAACATGTCCCAGGAGGCTGCAGGTGGGGGGTTTCCCAAGTGGACATCATTCTCACCTAGGTGAGAACTGAGGAAGTAAAACAAAACCACCTCAAATGTGTTGGAGGGAATGAGGGATGAAAGAGTGGTACTCTCACTTCTGAGTGAAGGTTCGTTATAACAACTAGTCATGCAAACAACAGTCTTTACCTTAGATCTGGCTGCTGTTTAATGTTCATATTCAGTGTGCTTTCCTCTTACCCATGTATTGAAGGGTGCCACATATGGTGTATGCACGTTCTCCAAAAGGAAGATGTTGAGAAAGTCCAAAATCTGACAATTTCAAATGCCCTAGTGAAAAAAAAAAACTTGTCAGGTGTGTCTGTCAGTTTTGAAAGTGTTTTCTTAGAATACGTCACTTCACAGCTTCTTGGTAGTACAATGTTTTTGATTAATTAACCTCCCTAAAAACATAGCTTGCTGTGATATGAATTACAGTTAATGAGACACCCCTGGATATATTCTGAGCTACCGGAGATGTGGTTGATTGCTGCTTATGATAATAACGTTTCGGTAGCCCCTGTATTTGAGTCTTTGGTGTGCTCCTGGCCTGATCTCCCCACTACAAGTGGTTGTGTAGAGTAATATTGGCTAAACCATTTTGAAAGCCCTTATCTCATTTATTATGTTACAGACTGCATACCTCTTTTATATCAGACAGATGACTGTTGTGGCACACTGGCAACACATTAAAGTATGAAAAGTTATGTACTATGTACTCTATGCTATAATCTGTCCGTCAATTTTGCAGTATTGAGTGCAGCAAGGATGTGTTATAGAGAAGAATTCTGAGGTCTAAGTAACACCAGAAGTTGTTGTAATGGAGCTTCACTTACCTCTTTCATCAAGCAGTATATTTTCCATCTGAAATAGTACAATGATGGTATTATTAGAAATTCTTTGAAATAACATTGTAATCTTAGAGTTTATTAAAAGGCAATTTCGTTTTTTTTTTTTATTTAGGGTCAAAAATTGATTTAGGGTTGATTTTAGGGGAATTGGGGAAGGGTTAGACTCTTGGTCAGATTTTTATTGCTTTAAATGTAACTACATATCTTCTATGTAGCGTTTGTGCACTGCATTCTTACCTTAACATCTCGATGTATGATTCCCAGATTATGAAGATACACTGTAAGGGTATAGTATTTGGTTAATTCTCTGATTAAAAACAATATTTCTATAGTAAAAAGTAATATATACTCTAAATATTCATATACAGTACATGATTTTCCTGCAATTTTTCAGCTGTTTGAGACAAATTTAATACAGACAGGTTGTTACCCTCTCCCACTATACCCAAAACTGATCAAAAAAAACATTTTGTCTGTATTGTCCACTTTAGTCAATATTTTCATTGGTGTTTAATGTAAAAGAATAAGTAATTACATTTCCCTAAATAGCAGATGAAAGTAAAGGGCTGGAAAAAAACAAAGGAAGAAGCAGAAAGGCGGAAATGTAGATGCAATGTCTATGGGGGAGATTTACTAAAACTGGTGCACTTCTAAGGCTGGCCATACGTTATACAATTTTCTGTCCAATTTCTGCCAAACTTCCTTTAGATTTACCTTCAACTGTGTAGTGCAAGGGCCTGCCTAATTGGATACAACTGAAAGTGTTGTTTGGGTTTGACCTCATATTATATGGTTTTTGGTAAATCTAAAGCAAAAATCTCAAAAAAATTGAATAATATATGGCCAGCCTTAGAATCTGGTACAGTTTGTGTACGGTACCCAGTCAGCTTCTAACTTCAGCTTGTTCAGTTAAGCTTTGACAAAACCTGGAGTCTGGTTTCTATGCAGATCTGCACCAGAGTTTGCACACCGCATTTTTAGTAAATATCCCCTCTTTGTCTGGGGCTCAACAATACTAAAATCCAGAGGTCAAAACAAGTCAATTGTTTCACATACAACATGTTGGCAGGCCAGTGAAAGATAATCATGATCAAGCCTGCTATGCTAAAGAGTTTGGCAAATACTTCATTCTTAATTAAGCATTCCTTGCCTGCATGAGATTATTTAACTTCTAAAAGTTGTTGCCAGGTTTTTCTCCTTTTCAAAACACAGGATAGGTTGATACATTGGATAGAAAGCCCAGACCCAATCAGAGAAATTAATGAAAATAAATAGTGATAAGAGGTTAAATAGAAAAAATAAAACATAAAACAGACAGGAAAGAAGTAGAGAAGGAGTGGAAGTGGGACATGTGAGCCGGTGGTTACCATGGGGTTCATTTACTAAAGCTGGAGAGTGCAAAATCAGGCTCACTTCTGCAAGGAAACCAATCAGCTTGGAGGTTGTATTGCCAATGCTTAAAGTGTTACTAAACCCAGGACCCTGCACTCACTATATCTGGTCTCCCACAGGAAACAGAACATGGAAATGCAATTATTTTAGTAAATATAAACTGCTAAATATATTTTCTCATTAGCAGTCTTGTGACCTATATCAGTGTCCAGCACGGCTCTGGTTAAAGCTTGTAGGAGGAGTTTTCTTTCTGCTCTAGGAGGATGCAGAACCCCTGACCTCTGTCTGGACAGTGCTTATTGGCCCTGTGCTGATCACATGCACTCTCCCAAGAAAAAAAATCCTCTCTAGCAGTACACACCAAACTGAGCATGTACAGAATGACTCCACATGATATGTCTTATTAGGAGATATGAGGGGTACACTGGAAGAAGGGAAGGATCACAGAAGTCAGGATCAAACAGCCTTTTTACACAATGTAGAGGATTAACCCCTTAGGTTCCACAGTGAGTCTAACAAGCATGCTCTATTGCATATACAGAGTAATTTTACTGTTGTGAGTTTAGTAACACTTTAATTGAACAAGCTGAGTTTAGATTGGTTTCCATGCAGAAGTGAGCCTAATTTTGCACTCTCCAGCTTTAGTAAATAAACCCCCATGAGTCTGATTTTAATCATATGTATATATATGTGTGCTGATATCCGAGCAGTGTCCATGCACAGTGACCATACTCTATTGATCTTACCCAGCACTGACACCAGTTCTGCTGCAAATAATCGGACCGTGCCTTCTTCAATTTGCTTGACAGACATCCATAAGGAATGAAGATCTCCGTATCTGCAGTAATTACACACTGCAGTAAACAAAGGAAAGCACATTAAAAACAGGTCACAATCTTAACCACTGGAATGGTATCTATTGCTCCCAATATTTGAAAATATTTTAAAATTAAATATATAAAGTTCCAAGTCTGGCTAACTGTTAAAGCGGTATTTAAGCTAAAAAAAAAAAAAAATATATATATATACACACACACACACACTATATTGCCAAAAGTATTGGGATGCCTGCCTTTACACGCACATGAACTTTAATGGCATCAACACAGTCTTAGTCCGTAGGGTTCAATATTGAATTAGCCAACCCTTTGCAGCTATAACAGCTTCAACTCTTCTGGAACTAAGGGGCCAAGTACAACCCCACACCATAATTCACCCTCCACCAAACTTTACACTTGGCACAATGCTTTCAGGCAAGTACTGTTTGTCTGGCAACCGCCAAATCCAGACACGTCCATTGGATTGCCAGGCAGAGAAGCGTGAGTCATCACTCCAAAGACCACGTCTCTACTGCTCTAGAGTCCAGTGGCAGTGTGCTTTACACCACTGCATCCAATGCTTTGCATTGCACTTAGTGATGTAAGGCTTGGATGCAGCTGCTCGGCCGTGGAAACCCATTCCATGAAGCTCTCTATGCACTGTTGTTGTGCTAATCTGAAGGCCACACAAAGTTTGGAGTTCTTTAGCTATTGACTCTCAAACAGTTGTTATAATACCACTAACAGTTGATCGTAGAATATTTAGTAGCAAGGAAATTTCACGGATTGACTTATTGCACAGATGGCAACCTATCATGGTACCACGCTTAAATTCAGAGTTTCTGAGAGCGACCCACACTCCAATTCTCGCCCAGTGCTGTGCCCAAGAGGATGTGTGGGCAGGAAAATTGAAGCACTGCAGACAACTCCATGGGAACTGCAGGATTGATTCCTCTGTCTGAGCATGTGGAGACTAGCCTGGATGAGTGAGCTGAGCTCTGCACTACATTTGAACTCTCCCCATCTCCCTCCCTTCTCTCCCCCATCTGTCTCCCCCTTCTATCTTTCCCCTTCTCCCCCACCTCTACTACCTTCTCCCTGGTATCTACTGAAGCAGATGAATTTTGATCCAAGTATGACCACCTAGGGCAAAAATATCCTTTTTGTGTGCATAAAAACGTATGAGATGGAAACAAAACGTTCCTTTGTCCTGAGGTTTATTTGTGTCTGTGTGACTGTCGGTTGTGGCACAGTATTTAGTATTTTGTGGGTACGAGGACTGTGGTATAGGTGTGCGTTGTATACAGCAGGTACAGATTCTGTTCAATCCCCCCTTAAGACCCTTTCACTGGCCAGCTACAGAACTTCTTTCTCTGTTCTTTTCCAGGGTGTCCCATGTCTTTCATCATCCCAGTCTTGCTCACATGTCATCCTGTTTTGACTTTTTAATTGCAAAGCCAGTCAGATTACTCACTATGAGTATTGTTAATATTGTCAATGTTTACATATTGTTTTATACTGTTTAGAGGCTAAGTTTGCCTTTAAAAACATATTATTATATGTCCTGTGCACTGCTGACCCCTGTACACTGCCATACTATCCCATGTACACTCCCTTGCTGACTGGCTGTCCTTTGCCCTGCTGACCCCCTGTACACTGGCCTACAAACTGCTGACACCTGCAATACACTACCATACTGACCCCTGTCCTCCACCCTGCTGACCGCCCATCCTCTGCCCTGCTGACCCCCTGTACACTGCCCTACAAACTGTGGATCCCAGCCCTTCACTCTGATAATTCCTGTCCTCTGCCCTACTGACCCCCAGTACACTCCACTACTGATTCCTGTTTTTGTGCACTGCCCTGCTAACCTCCTATTTGCTGCCCCCCGTGACATTTTTTACTGCACCCCCATATCAGGCTGGTTAGATCTGGCACTGGTGTCCCAATACTTTTGGCAATATATATATATATATATATATATATATATATATATATATATTCATTCAGGGCTTAAAATTTCGAGCCTAGACCTACTAGCCAGGCACAAACCTTACTCTCCACCAGTTGCCCCACCCAACCTTGCCCAGGTCTGCCTCCAACCCCACCCCCGGAACGTCCCCCAACCACGCCCCCTTAAAGCTTATGAAATTACATTTAACATTAGAACAAAGAGTACAAAATATAAAACTGTACACAGTAATGTATATCCCAGCTCCCCTGTACTCCATTATAGTGATATGACAGGTATACAGTACTTACTCAAGTCCACCGCGGCGGTGTAGAGGGTGTCTCCTGTCAGCGGAGGAGAGCGGACCTCTCCTGCACCTGTCCCCTCAGCGGCGGTGCCGCAGAAGCCGGAAACTGGAACTCGGCTTCACAATGAGGCTTGGAGCGCAGGTGCAGTCGCTCCATGCTGCATCTGTGCTCGCTGCTCACCACAGAGGAATTTTTCCTTGCATTTGGCGAGCGGCTTTTTCAAGCCCTGTATATATGATACATACATATATATTGCAGCTTACCAATCATTAAATGTGATGGCTGCATTAATTTTCTTTTTTTTCCCTTCTGTTTTCCCCTCATGATCTGGCCAATAACATACCTCCTGTATTAGAGTGCCCCCCCCACTCTGGATAAAGAAGCAAAGGGGGCACATTTGGACAACAGCATTGCCAGTCTGGGGGGAGGGGAGTGTTAGATGTACTAGCAGATTAAATACACTAACAAATTGAAGCCATACTCCAGCTCACATTGCAGTTACACAAGCAATTTCTTTTGGGAGAATGTTTGCTTTAAGGTTTAAAACTGCTTTAAGCTGGCCACAGACAGATCAAAATTTGGCCGGAATAGCAGGCACCAACCAAATGTTATTCAGTGTGTAACTGTACCCATTCAACAGAAGTTGATTGATTAATTTCTGTGGAAGGAGAATGTTGGAAAACTTTTGTTGATCAGCCTCTGCAGCCGCTAATCAGTGTATTCTGGCTGAATGGTTTGATTTCATAATAAAGCAGCTACAACCTGGGTAGAAAAGCCAGGCTGTGTCTGCTTTTGAAAGAATACAAATTGTAAGACACTGAACACCTTGTTTGGATCCAACTAGAACAGGGATGGGCAAACTTTTTGACTTGAGGGCCGCAATGGGTTCATATATTGGACCCGGGGGCCGGACCAAGAGTAGATGAATGATGTGTATGTGTCATCCATAGTAAGTATAGTAATATTCCCCCATAGTAAGCATAGTAATTAATCCCCCATATAGTCATTAATCCCCCATATAGTAGTAGTAATTCATCCCCCATATAGTAATTCCCCCCATATAGTAATTCATCCCCATATAGTAATTCATCCCACATATAGTAATTCACCCCCCCATATAGTAATTCATCCCCCATAGAGTAATTCATCCCCCATAGAGTAATTAGTAATCATCCCCCATATAGTAATTCATCCCCCATATAGTAACTCATCCCCCATATAGTAACTCATCCCCCATATAGTAACTCATCCCCCATATAGTAATTCATCCCCCCTATAGTAATTCATCCCCCCCTATAGTAATTCATCCCCCATATAGTAATTCATCCCCCCTATAGTAATTCATCCCCCATATTAAGTCTCCAAGTCCCCCCTGTGTCAATTCACTTACCTTTGCTCCGCGCGTTCCTCTCGCCGTGTTCCCGCGCCGTTCCGGTGTAGCATGAAAATCTGTCTCCTATGAGAATCTGTCCCCCTCAACGTATCTGCGCATGTGCCAGTTTCAGGCATTAGCAGCCGATCGGCGATCTCCGGCACATGAGCAGATACGTCGAGGGGGACAGATCCTCATAGGAGACAGATTTTCATGCTACACCGGTCTTCAGGGCGGACTGTGAGAGGAGCCTAGCTCCGCGGGCCGGATTAAAAGGTCCGCCGGGCCGTATACGGCCCGCGGGCCGTAGCCTGCCCATTGCTGAACTAGAATGTATTTAGCCAATTTAAACTGAAGGTTCAATTAGCCTTTAATGATATCTGATGATTTGAAAAGGTTATACACTTTTCTTTTGCTATCTGCAGCCTCTCTCTGCTCCTGATCAGCTGTTTACATCTTCCTGCAGCAGATAAAAGTGTTTTAAATAGAATTAAAGGTTATCATTTGACCTGTGGGTTTGGCAGCACTTCTTAGGCTCCATGCACACTTGTGTTTTTAGCTTCTAAAAGCTATTATCAGCATATTTATTTCTGCTCCTAGAAGCTAAATAGTGTTTTCCTATGTCCATGCACATTACTTTAGGCTATTAGCATTTTTTGATCTTCATCATCTAGGAGCAGAACAAAAAAAATGTTTTTGGGAGTGTTTTTCCAGCAGAAAAAATGCTAAATGCTGCTTAAATACTCCTAACAGCTTTTTTCTAGCTTTTGTTTTCCTCTACATGTACTGTAAAAATGCTAATAAAACACTTATGCAGGCCATAAACGGGTCGTTTATTGGCCGAATTTTCGTCCGCATGAAAAATTGGCCGATATTCACACTGTTAGTGGAGCCAGCCCGTCGGCTGTTTTTCGTGGATATTCTTGTTTATTTTTATTGGTCATGCTGGAAAATCCATGAAAAACGGCTGTTTTTCATGGATGATGGTGGCAGCATCAGCGCTGACCGATTTTTCATTTATCGTCCGACAATTCGGCCGATATACGGCCCGTCTATGACCTGCCTAATACTTCTAAATGCTACTAAAAAGTTTTATTACTAGTGTTTTTATCCAGCTTTTTTCCAGCATTTTTTGAGCTAAAAAAAAACGCCAGTGTGCATGGAGCCTTATTGTTTTAAAAAGACACAACTCCAGAACAAATTTCATGTATTTGTGGCCACTGAGTGGAGTTTCCATTATTTGCTGTATGTATCAGTATGTGGTAGTGTGAATTAGGGCGACTTACTGATAAACAGGTGCCGTTGTCCTTGCCAACTCTCTCCCAGGCATTGAATAAATGGGTGTTTCAATTGTCGCTGTTAGAAAAGATAGTAAATTATCATGTATATGTCAGTAACTTGTATGACCAATATAGTATCAATGTAAGCGGTCTTTAGTAGAAACTGAATGACATTAGGTATGTGTATTGGAGCGGTGGTAGATTTTAAAGGATGTGAATAGAAATGTACACCAGGAACTGGTCAGTGCGCAAAAAAAAAAGCCAAATTATTATTATTATTATTATTGTTACAGGTACTTGTATAGCTTAACACCACCTCGGTAGAAGTTTTTTTTTTAGGTGTGGTATGCAGAGTGGAACTCTATATTTAGGAATATAACATTCATAAGGCCCCATAACAATATTTTTAAAGAGCTTGTAGGCGGGGCCTATTTGGGAGGAATCAAGCACAGACAGTATGTTCTGCACTGATATATTCTGTATTGATCTTAAGCAGGTTTATTAAAACAGCTGTTAGACTTTAGCATGGATATACATTGGTCCAGTGAATAAACAGTCCTAATGTCTGACAAGCAGGGCCTGGTGTTAGACTATTTTGTGCCCTAGGCAAGACCAGCTACTTGGGCCCCCCCCCCCAAAAAAATAAATAAATACATTTAAAAACAGTAGAAAATATTAAATCAACAAAACTGCTATTTTTTTTATAATTTGCGAAAATAAGGGCAATAAGATGCCACCAGCACCAATATCAAAGACAAAATCAGTGTCACGGATGGACTGTATCTGAGGCTAGCAGTGGCAGGGTGACAGTTGCAGTGAGTGGAGGATGATGGATCCACACTCTGACAGACCCCAGGCTGGAATTCCCCAGGCAATGGGGGAGGTAAAACACTGTGACAGCAGGCAGCCCACACACATACACACACACATACACACACACACACACACACACACACAGAACACCTGAACTAAGAGATCCTACACAGTGACAGATCCAACACACCGTCACCAACACTGACACAGATCAGCAGACCCAACAGGCACTAGAAGAGCAGGCTGTGGGATTATGATGATGTCATCACTCACGGACAAATTTCACATGTGATGGATGTCCGGCTGGCCGGGTCACACTCACACAGACATGAGACATTAGAGTCAGACATTACCTTACTTCACAGGCACGGCTCCGTCTCTGCTGATGAATGGGAAGAGAAGGACTGGAACTCCACAATGATCAGCAGCCGCCAGCTGGCTTGCAGTAAGGCACTGAGTCTGAGAGGAACACTGGAAGGAGCAGCAGCTCATCTACTACACTGGCCCCACACACCCAGCATCTTCCTATGTCCTTTCTTCCTTCCCCTCTGCTGCCCCTCCCTTCACTCCCTTCAGCTGAAGGATCATTCATGACGTGGCGGTGTCCCACACAGAGAGAGTGCCGGCCTGTGCTGCTCTCAGGTGCCCTGAGGTGGCAGTGAGCCCTAGGCAGCTGCCTAGTTTGGCTATTGGAAGCCTCAGCCCTGCTGACAAGATGTGTTACTGGAGGGTGGATTCAGTTACTGGTGGTAGTGTCCCTTTTCAGTAGATGTGAGGCATAATTTCAACAGCCTGCACTGGCTCCATTCTTTTGTGCCAATTACTGGAGTGTATAAAGTGATGAGGGAGCCTTCCCTGAGCTATCCCTGCTTACCAGGAACCTCCTTCACAAGCAGATTCCTGTCCCTGATCAGCCACTCGCTCAAAGTGTGCCAAATTGACATGGGTTCTCTTATTTATAAGGTTCCCTGACAAAAAGGGGCAGCAAAGTTTTGTGAGAGTTCTGTATCCAATTGGACAACTTCTCTTCCCGAGATAACTGACAGAATCAATGAGGGATCAATTCCCTTAAAAGACCCCTCTTCCCGTGTAGTAATGACAAAAGGCCACCTACAGATGGCAAGACTGCCTGCACCTTCCTACAAGCCTCTTTATCCAAAAGTAGAAAAATAACATTTTGAAATAGCCTATGCACAAACTCCTAGTTATGAAGGTGCTCAGTGGTAAAGCTCAGATGTCCCAGTGAGACCACCTACAATAAACCAATATCCTAGTGACAAAGGACAGGACTGTCAGACTCTGCACAACAGTATTGGCTGGAAGGTACCCCACAGGAAAGGACTGGCAGATACCAACCCTATCCCCCAATACCTCGGTCATGTTTGATGATGCCCCAGTACCACAGGACAAATTACAGTGAAAAGTTACACTTACAGTGGTTGTTAATTGGAAGGGGCCAGTTACAGTCTCCATGAAACCTGGCCACACTTGTCCCCTAACAGCACAACTGCCGCATTCACAATCCGGGTGCTACACATCATTCCTGAGTCAGAAATCTTTTCGCTTTCTTATGCAGTGTGTCTGAATCATCAGTGTTGAGTATTCCCTTACATTACACTGAATGGAAAATAATTAGCTCAGGCAGCTTTAGTGAGTGGAAACATCCTGGGAAACGCCCCAAAGTGATGTGCAAACAAAAGATTTTTTTGTAAGTTTTGGATTGCTAAGGTTTTTTTCTCAAAATGTTGGATTTACCATCACTTTCTGTTTTAGTGGCAAAGGGCATCAGGACAAAAAGTAAAAATGTAGCTACCCAAGGATGGTAAGGGGGCATGGATAGAGGAGGATTTCATCTAAAAAAAAAAAAAAGAAGCATCAGCACAAAGGACCCACCCTATTGTGTGGTATGTCACTTGTACTGATTTTTCAGGGTTTTTTTTAATTGTGGCTACACTTAGGCTTTATCTCTTTTATAAGCTCTCTCCAAAACATCAGTCATACCTGAATGCTGACCTCTTCCTTACATTGCTTCAGTGTGTTACGCCGCAGAACTTCTCCTTTGGGTAATACCTGTGGAGCAAATATATAAGTATGGTAAACGCAAGGTGGCACATTAATTAAATCAGGTGTCCTGTGGTAGTGCTGTGCTCTGCCACAGTGTAAAAGAGTTAATGACCCAGGATTCTCATTCAGACCGGTTGAGGGGGCTCCAGGGAACTTGTGACATTCAGAGGAAACTGACTTTTCAGTTTTGCCATAATTTATAAAAAAAAACTGGTTTGGGACCTGGAGCCCGGGGATTTTGTAGAGATCTGGGAGGGATGAAATCTCCAATCCTGGGTCCGTGCTGGACTTTTAGGAGAGACCTGACTAGGGTTCTGGGTTCCACCCCAGCAGACAGGAGGTCATCACCCAGAAGTTAGGAGAGCACCACCTAGGAGGGAGGTGGGAGCCAGAGCAGCAAGGTGCTGCTAACTGTATGGAAAAAAGTTTGTCTTTATGAGAAGACGGTCTGTAGGAGACAGACAAAAGCCTAAAGTGTAGGGCAGAGAAGCAGTGCAAGTGTAAGCCAGGAGGCTGCATGTGTATTTATTTGTGAGGAAAACCCTTTGATTTTGATTTATGGAACTTTCTTTTAAATAAAATTGGGAAAGAATAGCCAACAGAAGTCGATTGTTTGGCTATGTCCTTAAAGTTCTACCACTTGAAGCGAGTTATCACAGTCCAAATACATGAAATATATTCATACACTACATAGTTAACTCCTTTAACAAAACACACATTAGGGGGAATTCATAAAGGGTTCGTAGACACCCTTTAGAACTCCATTGGTGTTTACAGCTGATTCATGTACCCTCATGTCCACACTGGACACTGCTTCCACTGCACCCATCACACAGACAGGCACATGGATGAGTTTTGTAGTAGAGGTGGGCAAGGCCTGATGGAGAACCAAGAGAGTTCTTCCCCATTCAGGTTTGCCTGGCTGTTGATCAGCTGTGCATGGCAATGGGTGGATCCATGGCCACTATTTAGTCCAATAGCAGCATAAAAATCCCACTGCTGTGTGCCGTCAATCAAAAGTAAAGCGGACCTGATGGGGAAGTAGTCATTCAGTTCTACATCAGGCTCTGCCCACACAGTGACACAAGTAATTTCACAAATATGGGCATTGCCATATTTTGGGTATTGGCAGCACCACTATCTCTGGTCCTTTAGTTACATTTAGCTTTGGGACAGAGAATCTCCCAGTTGATAGCTGAATGGGACTGGAAATAGAGCCCTGTGCAGGGAACTGGCACATACATGACAACTTCCCAACACAGATATACCCAACTCTAAACACTGGCATACCTCTGTACACAAGCTCACAACTGGTCTTAATTACTACCAGTTTCCTAATCTGTGCACTGGCGGTAATTCTTTAAGAATCTGTTGCTGCCATAGCGACAGTTTCTTAAAATGGCAGTAGTAAGAACTCCCTGAATTTGTCAACGGTAATCTTATCGAAACTGGGAAAAATGCTTGCCTATACTAGGTGCAGGTAGTTCTAAATAAAACTACAGCCAAAAAGTGCCACTAAATTCCCCTGATTATGTTCTTTTTCTTAGTACAGACGGTACAGACTTCCAGCAGTTTAGAGGAAAATTACAAATCTTCTAACCTTTAAAGCAAAGATCTTCTGTTCTGCACAGTTTAAGACCTTCAGTACTGGACCAATGGATCCTTTAGCAACACATCCTAGAACCTATGGAAGATACATTCATGTATAAATTAGTAATGTTAGGCCAAAATTTGATGCATAGATCTCTCTTTGAGATGCCTGAGAAATCTACCTATTTTTGGATTATTTGACAATTCAGCTTCACAATTATTTCCCCAGCGTCTGCTATGTTGGATGGAATCATTAACTTTTTAGTTTTTTATAGAAGTTTGCTAACACACTGAAAAATCTCCATGTGGTAATCAGAACCTCTGACAAATTCCACTTGAGCCGTGGGTGATCTAGTGCTAGACCAGACCACCTGAAGTTTAGCAATTGCCAAATTACGTCACATGCCATTTGTGCCGTAACCCATCCCCTCCTCCTGCATCCTCCATTGGGAAGGTTCTTTCACTTTCTATAAATTTTTATTGAAAAAATGTTAAAGGGATACAGCTTGTGACCACTGTCATGTCTGCAGACAAAAGCATAAAATTGATGGCTTACAAGTCAAAAGCGGTCTTACTGCTACCAAAGAACTATAGCAAATGACAAAACGATTGATATGTCAAAAGGCGCATTATTCAAGTATAACAAGAAAACATTATGGGGAATAGGAGAAAATCCCTACGCCTGTACCATGGGATCAGGCGTTGATGGATGAGATATCAGTGTATAAAACTTCACAATGGAAAAAACAAAGCAAAGGAGTACATGAGAACAAATTGACCCTATGGAAGAGCCTGGAAAAATAGGGGAAAAAACAGAAAGGCAGGGGAGCGAGAAGCGAAAGGGAGAGAGACAAGCAAAGGAGGGAAAGGGACGGGAAGGTTCTTTCATTATTCTAACTACCTACCTCTGTGAATGGAGGAGAGGATCCTGTGGCTCACCAGGATCTCCCCCATTCTGGGATCATGTTACAGGCAGTATAAACAATGAAATAACTTTTTTCAATGGATGAAAAGGGAGGAGGGGGTGCAATATTTTCACAACAGCTCAGATCAGAGCCCAAAGCTAATAACCATACTGGAAGTTCAAAGACAGGAAGAGCACAGGGCATCCCTACAGTGAAGAGTTCTACATTATCCAACTGCCTGCATGATGTGGGGCATACTTTTTACAAATAAGTATTGTAACTACAGTTGTACAGAAAACGCTAAAAGATAAACTTCAGTTTTAATGTTATGCTATACATTGGGGTTAATTTACTAAAGGGAAATAGGCTGTACACTCTGCAAGGAAATGTTTAATCTGCAATGTAATTTTCCCTTAGCTTGGTGCATAAGATGAAGCTGTGCTGATTTCCACCATCCAATCATGTGTCAGCAAAAATAAGGGTTTTTTTTTTGTTTGTTGTTACTTTTCATTGCACATAATTGGGTATTCTTTGAAAAGTGAATTTTCACCGCATTCACTAAATGTGAAAAAATGCTTTTGCAAATTGAAAAATTCCATACAAGTTAAACAGCTTATTTGCCGTTAGTAAATCAACTCCATTGCGTACTGGGGAAAATGATTACTATAATTAATCCTGAAAAAGTATAAGTAGCGAGGCTGTACAAGTATTTTCACCACTCCTCCTGAAATCCAATTTTTGTTTTAATAAAATCCCAAATATCATATAAAAAAAATCGAATAGATGTGGGCCAGAATGGCATTACTGTGGGTAGTATAACAGCTTCAAAAGCTTCTCGGTGTAAAATCTGAGATTACCTATGTATTGCAGGCAAAGCCGTACATTTGTAAGACATGTAGCTGTCAGCAAATGATTTTCAACCATCTGAACAGGTGCCTTGTAAGCAGCTTATTTTAATATAGTGCATATAATAATACATGCATTAGTGCAGATTTTTTTTATATATATGTAGTCTTGTAATTTTATTACTCTACAGTACTGTAAACATTTGAAGGCCTCATGCACACTGAACGTTTTTACAGCTGCTCCTAGGGCATCTGCTATTTTTGTTTTCCTGCTTTTAAACTCCCCTGCATGTTAGCCTATGTGTACATGCAAACATGCGTTTAGAGGCAGGAAAAAAAGCCCACTGCCAGTGCGCCCAGGAACAACAGAGTTTTGGCAGAAAAACCATTTGACGCGTCTAATCACGTCTAAATATGCAATAATGCAAGGCTAGTGCTTGAGCGTTAATTCATTTCAGTGGCCAGAATAAATTATTTATTTTGGGCAATAAAATGAATGAATGCCCAAACGCTTGCGGCTAAACACGTTACACACTTTTACAAGGGTCAGGCAATTTGTTTTTGCCAAAACGCTGCTGCGAGGAGGAAAGGCTTCTAGGAGAGTTACAATAAAGGCCTGTGTGCATGAGGCCTAAAAAGCATGCTTTTCATATACTTGTAGCTTGGTAGGTGATTGTTATAACTGAACAGAAGAAATAAGCGACAGGCTTTTTACAATTCACAAAAGAAATATAAATAAACAGCGGAAATCAAAACCCCCTCATTCAATGAATAACATAAATCAATTACAATACAGTGAAAAAATCAATATATATTAAATAATAATCAAGTGTCCCCTTTAAAAAAATTTATATATGAATTATTTAAATCATATTAAAGTGTCCAAAAAAAATATAATATATAAAAATAATGATAATAAACAAAAGTCTTTTCTCCCACATAAATAGTGTATTTAAAAAAAACTATTTAGCCAAAAAGATTCTGCTTCCACCATCCACCAGTGAGAAACCAACATCAACCGCACTCACCAGATGATGGTGGTTCATATACTTGTAGCTTGGTAGGTGAATGCTATAACTGAACAGAAGAAATAAGCGACAGGCTTTTTACAATTCACGTTGGGGAAGACACAACTGCATTATATAGATTGTTTTGATGCTGAGCATTATATACCAGGTACTATCTATATGAAAGCTCTCATTTTTCATCGCACATCATATTACATCATTGTACTTTTAATACAAGACCTTTAACTCTGGCTGCACAGCTGGTGACCATAAAGGAAATTCAGGCAAGAATAAGGATACACAATGTGGGAGAGGCCGCTCTGTCACTTTTGCTTCTGGAAGGCTAGTCTGATGTGATGTTTTAAACCTGTCCTTTATTGTTCGGCCAGTTGCCACACAGCTGACCAAAACGGGATGTTGCCAAGCTGTCCCCATTCAACAGTCCTTTCCAAGAAGGAACCCAAAGGTTGGGTGACACAGAAGTACAGCCCTAAAAAGCAAGAAACTATACTTTAAAAGGGAGGATTATCCAAATAAAAAAAGTCTTCAAAATGTATGAAAAAAAAATACACAATTCAGTAAATGAATTCAAACCCCCCCCCCCCAAAAAAAAAAAGATTATAACGTTGAAATATTTTGGACCAAAAAGATAGATACTTCAATACACTGTAGAGATACAATTAAACAAAATAGATAATATATAATCGTTAAAAAGTTTATTAGTGCACTGTCCTGCATTCCAGCATTAAGCTATTTGCCTTAATGAAAGGGTGACCCATTAAATGTAATCAGCCTTGATATATACCGTAGTACTTTCTTGTTCATCTACTTAATTGTGACAAATCATACAACAGTTACAAAATAAGGAGCTATTTCCATACAGTTACCCTAAGCTACCATTCTATGAATCTATTTCCTAATAGGTTGAATAAGGTTTCCTTCACATGTGTTACCCCTACCTTGGTGTCACTGCTGGTGGCTCCCATTTCATGTCTTCAGTTAGTGTATACACGGGGCAGATTTTGTGCTTTCAAGCCCCCCTCCCCACCATCCAAACACTTTCTGATCTCTGAAGGGAGTCACATGTACTGTTAATCCGCTTTAGCTGGACAAACAATTTTAATCTGCTGCTAAGTACTGGCCTTTGCTTATGCATCCTATCTAGTGCTGCATTATTCTGGAGTGTAATTCTTATACATATCATACATGGTGATGGTATGTCCGTCATGGCACCTTCTTGACAAAACAAAAGCAAGTGGATCATTTCCTATTCACCTACATCAGTGACATGACCTTTTTACTGTTATAGTTCATGTTATAATTAATTCTAAGTATATTTGCTTATTTCCCCAGAAAGGAAACCTATAGCGAGGAAAACCACTATGCTGCTATTGCTACACTCTGTCAGTTCCCTGCATGCAGCTTCAGTACTTTGAGTTACTGACCTAGAGCAAGAACACAACTACAGTAGTGAAAGTGGAACTCTCAATCTGCGCAACTATTTTGGGTTGTTTACTCAAAGCATTAAAGGGTAAGTTCACCTTTTAACAAAAAATAATAAATGCAATTTTTTCTGGGGAAAAAATTTGCATTTATTATTTTTTGTTTGTGGAGCCTTTAAAGCAGTGGTCTCCAAACTGCGGCCCGCGGGCCGGATGTGGCCCTTTGCTTGCTTTTATCCGGGCTCTTGTGGATTCCGTTTACAGATATGAAGATTCCTCCCACTCCTATAAGCACTGAAACTTTATTTCTTTCACTGACAATAATGATGGGGCATTATTCATTCCACTGATACCAATGATGGGCAATACTCCTCTTATTGACGCTATCAACAAGGCACTACTTATCCCACTGACACCAACAATGGGGCACTATTCCTTCCACTGATGTAAATGATGGAACATTATCTCATTCACTGACCTTAATGATGGGGCATTATTCCTTCCACTGATACCAATGTTGGAGCACTAATCCTCTCATTGACTGCAGTGATGGCGTACTATTCCTCTCACTGACACCAATGTTGGGGCATTATTCCTTCCACTGACACCAACAATAGAGCATTATTCCTATCACTAATACCTGTTGTGGGACACAATTCCTCCTCCTACTGACCACAGTGTTATTTTTTTTCTCCTAATCAGCAGATTGCTTGTGCCATGCAGGTCTCCTCCTGACCATCCCCATACGGCAACCAGATACTGACAGGAAGGCTCAATGAACTACCATGGCGCTGCGTAGCGCCGTAGTAGTTAATTGAAAACTACAAGCTGACAGCCCCAAAGGATGCTGGGACTTGTAGTGTTCCCATTCACAGAATACTGTAAATGAGTGACGTGGCTGGACGGGCAGAGGAGGAGAAGATCTCCAGCTAGCTGTTACAACGGGGAAGGGGGGGGGGGGGGGCATTCGATTGTAACATGTTACACCATGAATATGGGTGAACTTATCCTTTAAAAGTCTGGATGAATACAACCCGACAACTGCCATTTTCAGTCACCAATGGCAAGCTGAAGACTTTTTAAAGGTTTCCTTTAAAATATCTGAACTACTACAATGAGCCACTGTGTGTGTAATGATATCAGCCAAACAATCAGGTAAACAGTGATGAGCAACTTTGTTGTGATGTATACTGATGAATGAATGGGCAGCACAGTGGCTAAATGGTTAGCACTTCCACCTGGCAGTACTAGGGTTGTTGGTTCGAATCCCAACCATGGCACCGCCTGCCTGGAGTTTGCATGTTTTCTCTGTGCCTGCGTGGGTTTCCTCCGGGTACTCTGGTTTCCTCCGGGTACTCTGGTTTCCTCCAACACTCCAAAGACATGCTGGTAGGTTAATTGTATCCTGTCAAAATTGGCCCTAATATGTGTATGAATGAATGAGAGTTAGGGGCCTTAGATTGTACACTCTTTGAGGGTTAGGGACTGATGGGAATGTACAATATATATATGTAATGAGCTGCGTAAATTGACGGCGCTATACAAGTACCTGAAATAAATTAATGGTGAATTGACAATATGGATAGAATGGCAGGAAGGTATGCAATAATGTTAAACAAAAGATAACGGTCAACAAAGCTATCTGAGGGTGAAATCACACAAGTATGCACTTTCTTTTGTGATGTAATCATTTTGCAATAAAAACCTTTTTTGGACCATATTGGAGATCCATGGTGAGCTGGCGAATATGTATGTTTACTTATGATGTTTCCAGTCCCAGCTGCTAGTCGCTACAGCACCCTCCACTGATGAGCCGTACTTCCAGGAATGTGTGCGAGGGGAATATACGTAGATAAAGATCACACAAGTATGGACTCTGCTGTACTTGTCCGTTCCAACTGCGGTAGGAGCAGTGTGGTGCGCAGTTCAGTATATCACACAACTTTCTGACAGAAGTACACTTCATTCCTGTTACTGCCCTACAGTGCTACGCATGACTGCATTTTAGTGTAGCTCTGGGTTGGGTTGCAGTGTTTGCCATTGTTTTCTGTGTGTCCTTGCGGTCAAAGGCATTTTACAGTGCAGCACACAACTCCCGAAGGGTCAAAGAGGAAGAGAAATGGAGCCAGGCTGACCACAGTAAGTTGTGTTTATCGTAGGTATCGTTGTTAAACGCTTGTCATTGCACCATGCAAGAATTCAGCCTTATGCTGAGAAATTGATATAGGAATAGTTTCCACACTTGACCATTAATTGCAGCACAATACAATACAACTAATTTAGAATGGTTCACATTCAAAACAAATGGTCGTAGCACAGAACAAAGAAAATGCAGTTTTTTGCTTCTACCTGGAAATGGGGTTGTAACGCCTCTCACTAGGAGGCTAACTATAGCTGTTCGCTCAGGTAGAGGGTCGCAGGGATTCTCAGGCAGGCTCCACAAAAGTAAGGATGAAGGAATCTTTGGTCTGGAGGTTCAGGTGGATGAAGGTAAGGTCCCCCCTGACCACAAATGGAAGGGCAGTAAACCAGAACCAGCCAGCACAATGTCCACCATAACTGGGGCTTAGAAGAAAGCTGTGTGCTTATTTGCTTGCTGGCAGTGAGCAAGCTGGATGCAATTTTGCAAAGTGTGGTGAAAACGCATGTGTCCAATTACTACTGTCCCATCAGGTGTGTTCCCTCTCAGCTCCAGAGGATAGAAAGAGGTGGAACGTATATCTTTGGGTGTGTCCAGGGGATGATGGGAGCTCAGGGATTGTAAGGATCTGTGTTAACCTCTCTGGCGGTATTCCCGAGTGTAGCTCGGGGGTAAACTTTCAGTACCAAAAGCGGTAACCCCAAGCTACACTCAGGATTACACTGCAGTATTGCTCCGGGATCCCTGTTTCATTTACCTTGTCCTGCGCTCCCGCGATGTCCCCCCTGCAGCGTCCCCCGCCAACTCCTCTGGCCGATGCCGGCATCCAACTTCCGGGTTCCATTCCCTGCGAGCGTCAGGACATATGGGACATACGTGACGTACGGGGGGATGGAACCGGCGGAAAATTCAAAAATTTTAAAAGTGACATTCACTCAATACACTAAAATCACGTAGTATAACATTACTGTATCAAACCATTTCACATACATTTTGTCCCCAGTGCTTTGTCCTGTGCCCTGCCTGCATTTTTACTGTTCTTTCTGCCTGGGAAATGAGAAAAGTCCATGGTGTCCAAAAAGCATCCCTTTAGGTCAAAAGTGGTTTTAGATCAGCTAGAGAATAGCGATAGTAAATCAGAACCACTTGCAGAATTGAGTGATGATTCGTGGGGAAATTCGTCGGGAAATTCGTCATCAGACACTGAAAAAGATTTTGTGACTAAGCTCAGTGATGTGCGAACTTGGCGCTATATTTCAAATTTCAGTGTTTTTGGTTTGATTACATTATTGAATTTAATTTATTATTATTATATTATTTTTTATGATTATTTATATTATAATTTATGATTTCTCTCTACAAACACTCAGCTAAAGTTCAATAAAACAGTACTTTGGCCTTACTTTTAGAAACCACTTCTTTACAGACTAGTGCACAAAATAATAAAAAAAATATTATTCTACAAAGCATTACTATGTATAAAGTACACATTTTGCCTATGTCTTTACTGTATATTTGTCTTTACTAAGATATTCAACAAAATAATGGACCATAAACACTACTATCTGCAGTTATCTTTAATTCTGCTGAAACACAGCCACACTTTGGGGGGGAGGGGCATAAAAAAGAACCACTACAATGTTAATTTAAAGTTTATTGTAAATATCTGAGGAATCCCTGAGGCGAGACCTATACCGTGTGCACAATTATTAGGCAACTTGTATTGTTGAGGATTCATTTTATTATTGAAGAACTACAATGCTCTCGGGCAACACAAAGTGTTAATAAATCTCAAACCTGAATATTTAAAGTGCGCAAATAGCACTGCGCTTCATAAATGGCCCTGTAGTCTTCTGGGACCTGTCACGTGTCCCAAAAGACTACAGGGAGGGAGCGAGGGAGGGAGGAC